ATGTCAAAATGTTAGTAGCATTCATCATTGGGTGATGTGTTTATGAGTCTTTTAGGTTCAAATACAAGATACATTCAGAAGCTAAGAACAGCTAGCTCCCTAAATTAACCTGTGATTACAGCCACGGACCATGGTAGGAGGAGATAAAACTGATGAACATCAATCAAGATCGATTGCTACATGTTCACCCTCTTTGCAACACTTCATGTAGACAAGCAACACACCCCTACAGCAGTTCACACTTCCTGGATCAAGGATGATCTTCATCTTGGAGGCTTAGTCGCACATGGTAACTGGTCATGTTGCTTTGACTGACTGGTACTATTTCAAATGTGTTGTGCAGTTTAGATGTAATAGTTAATGGATTTGGACAGATATACAAAAATGTAACACGATAGTTTTGTGTTAATACAAACAGTGATAAAAGTGAATTACTCTCTTTATAGCACTGTTCTGAGACTCCAGTGAGACATGCATACATATAGTAAGTCTCCAAAAAAAAAAATCCAAACTCACTGCCATCAGTTAATTCCAACTCATGCTGTTGTTGTTGTTATGTGCCGTTGAGTCAGCCCTGACTCATAGTGACCCCTCCTTGGGTTTCCGAGGCAGTATCACTACGGAAGTAGGATTGCCCAACCTTCCTTCCGAGGAGTGGCTGGTGGGTTTGAACCGCCAGCCTTCTGGTTAGCAGTAAAGTGCCTTAGCCACTATGCTACCAGAGCTCCCAACTCATAGAGACCCCTAATTAGGTTTTCAAGACTGTAAATATCTTTATGGAAACAGACTGCCTCACCTTTCTTCCAGGGAGTGGCTGGTGGGTTCAAATCACTGACCTTTCAGTTAGCAGCCAAATGCCTTATCCATTATGCTACCAGAGCTACTTATAGGAAATACTCAGTGATTATTATTGAACAGAAAATCCCACTGTTTCTGGGTAAAAACTGTCTTTGAATTTCCCACCTTCAGTTTTGAGAAGGTTGCTTCTGACAACTAAATGTGAAGTGTAAAGTTGTTGGCATATTCTCCACTAAAAAATTATGTATTAAGAGTCAATGCATTGACAGCACTTTAAAACCCTTGTAATAGTGTTCCTGTAAAATCCAAATGCATAAAGACTAATAGTAGGCCTAATCTTTCTTGCCATTTATTCTTCCCTAAATTAAAACACATGAGAACTTGTTTTATGAGGTAAAGAGAAAGATATGTATCTTCTGTCTGAAACAAATCAAGCTATGTCTTAAGACTGTAAACAAGCATAATTAATATAAAATAAATACAATCTCCAACTATAAGTTAACAGTCCACTGACATTCATTACTTTTGTTAGGAGACCACTGAAGAATGATAATAGATGGACAATCTCAAAAATTATCTGGCCCTATAATTTCATCCACTCCTAAATATTCTTCTAACCCCTAGTATAATTACAGAAAGTGAAAAAGGAGGTAATTCTCATTGTTTACAACAAATATGGAGTGAAAATTGGTGTGGTTGGCAATACCTAAAAATATAAAATGTTTAACCAACATACTTGATTCAGTGGTACCACTTCTGAGAATGAATCCTATAGAAACAGTCTCATAAATGTATAAAAAGCACATAGAAAAGGATTCTCATTGAAATTATAAGCTATTTTTTTTAACAGGAGAAATAATTTTATGTTCATCCAATGGATTACCATATATATAATCACTAAAATATGGTCCATCCATCCACACTCCTTGACAAGATTCTCAATATGTACTAAGATTAAAAAAATAAAAATAGCAAAGTTGCACAAAAACATATTGTGTGATCCTAGTTAGAAAACATAAATTTTAAGCAGCTGTCAACATAAGAAAAAGATTTATAGTAACATTCAAACTATTTGCCTACGTTAGGATTTTCAGTCAGGGCAATGGTTTTTAACCTGAGTTGATTTTGCCAGCCTCCCCCACGCCAGGCATATGGTAGTATCTGGAAACATTTCTGGTTGTCAGAACAGAAGGTGTGAATGCTACTAGGTATAGGCCAGGGATGCAGAGTAACATCCTGCAAGGCAAAGGACAGCCCAACAGTAACAAATTATCTGGTCCAAAATGTCAATAGTGCAAAGGTTGAGAAACTAGTTTAGAGGAATACAGATCTACTTAAATAATAAGGAGCTCTGGTGATATAGTAGTTAAGGCATTTAGCTGCTAATCCGAAGGTCAGTGGTTCAAACCTACTAGCTACTCCACGGGAGAAAGATAAGGCAATCAATCTACTTCTGTGAAGATTTATAGCCTTGGAAACCCAAGAGAGGTTGCTATGAGTTAGAACTGACTTCATGGCAGTGGGTTTAGTTTTGGTTTAAAAAAATAATATAGTACTTAATGCTATCATGATGATGATGTTAGCTGCCATCAAATAAACCCTGAGTGACAGCATTTTTATGCATAACAAAACGATGGTGAGTGAGTCTTGTACCATCTCCACCATCAACTGCAGATCGGACCATTGTGATCCATAGCGTTTTCAACGGCTAATTTTCAGAACATACTTAATTTCTACATTCTATCTTCTTCTCCCTTCCTCTTGGCAGAGCTGCTTTTCTTCAGAAGCACCCTATTTCTTTTCAAACTCCATTCCACTGCATTTATGGGGCTGTCTCTCCTTATTTTAAATGGGAACGGCTGGCACACACTCATTCTTTTTATCAGTGTCAAGATTTTGTAGAGCCTTGGGGTGGGTGCATGAGAATAACCTAGGGAGTCCTCTTTCACAAATTACAAATGCCTCGCCTATTCCATTTAAAATCAGAGTAAATAATGGTAGCGCTTAATATCAGAATGTTTGGGGAGGATGTAACAGAAGCTATTCTTTATAAGCGACAGAGATAAATTGGGCACTTTTCTTGGTTAACACAAGTCAAACCCACAACGAAAACAAAATATAAAAAACTAAAAGTGTCTTTATGAAAGGGTTTGACTCACTACGTAGGTTCTTCCTTGACTTCTATCTAACCAACCTGTTAAGATTAACAGATGTCTTCTGGGTCCTTGTAAAACATAACTGCTTTACGTTTTAAGCTCATGGTACACTACATGCTGCCCATTAGTAGGCTACTCTATAGTACACCAAGGAGCTCTGGTAGTGTAGTGCCTAAGGGACTTGACTGCTAACCAGAAGACTGGCAGTTCAAACCCACCAGCCACTCCTTGGAAGGAAAGTTGGGCAATCTACTTCCATAGTGATACTGCCTTGGAAACACAAGGAGGGGTTGCTATGAATTGGGTCCGACTTGACGGCACATAACAACATTATAGTACACCTGCCTATTTCTTCTACTACCAGTTAATGTGTGCTGTGTTGCTCTCAAACACCAGTAGTATTTATACCAGTAGTTATTATAATTGACCATTTTGATTCATTATTACATGAAATGATAAAAAAGAAAGCAGTTTCCATTGAAAACAAGCTCTAAAAAAACTCAAAAATTGCCACTGAATAAAGTGTCCAAAAAAAGAAAAACCCACCAAACTCGCTGCTGTCGAGTCAACTTTTCTGACTCCCCTCCTTGGGTTTCTGAGGCAGTATCTCTATGGAAGTAGACTGCTCAACCTTCCTGCTGAGGAGGGCTGGTGAGTTTGAACTGCCAGCCTTCTGGTTAGCAGTCAAATGCCTTAGGCACTACACCACTGGAGCTCCCTGAATAAGGTGTACATCAGCTATTAAAAACCAGGGGGAAATAAACACAGAATCTTGTACTTCACTATACTTTATTTCCATGTAAAAGAAACTGAGTGTTATAACTGATGCAATACAAAAAGCAGACAATAAGGAACTCTATAATCTGTACTCAAAGACTATGATCCTAAATTATTAAAATGCTTAAGGTACTTATCACATGATGCTCTATTTTAACCAACTTTCATTTAGACCTTTGTTCCAATGGATAATGGAGCTCTGGTGGTATAGTGGTTAAAGCATTCAGCTGCTAACCAAAAGGTTGGGCCATTTGAACCTACCAGCTGCTCTGCCAAAGAAAGAGGTGTCTGCTTCCATAAGGATTTAAAGCCTAAGAAACCCTATGGAGCAGTTCTACTGTCCTAAAGGGCCACTATGAGTACCAACTGACTTGCTGGCAGTGGGTTTTTTTCCTCCTCGGATAAGTGAGCTTTTACTATATAATTGTCCGCCACTTATATGTCACTTCTTTGTACTGTGGCAGCTTCCATGTTGTTATGACGTTAGAAGCTATGCTACTGTACTGCAAACTCCAGCAAACTCCAGAAAGACCTGGTGATCTACTTCTGAAAACCAGCCAACGAAAACTTATGGATCACAACCGAATTTTATCTAATACTGGATAGTAAACCCCCTAGAAAGTACTCAAAATATACACTGGACACAATAATGGACTTGAGCATACCAACAATTGTGTAAATGGCACAGGACTGGGCAAATATTTCATTCTGTTATACATGAGTCACCATGAATCCAAGCAGACTCAAGGGTGGTCAACAAGACTATAATTATAACCTTATTTCAAAAGCATTCAAATGGCAAAATATTTATTCCCATCACCATTCAACATGAAATCAGTAATAGAAATTCCAAACGGGTTCTGTCATAACCCAGTTACAAGAGAGTAAGTAAAACTGTTACAGTAACTTACCTACAGTGGCTCTAATCAGAGGAGAGGCATCACCAATATTATTCAAACATTCACTTTTAATAAAGTCTGTTACACCGTTTGGGAAGTTCTGAAAATGTGCTTTCACATTATTCTTCAAGATGAGACCACTTAATGATCTTGTGGGTTCATCTGTAATAAAACAACACTACTGAGTTTTAAAGTAGTTTTCATTTCAAACCAAGAACTGTAACTTAAAAAAAAAATTATATTAAAAAACTGATTGCAACATTCTAATAATGTTGCAATATTGGCCATCACAGAATACAGCTTAAGACATTTTATGTTACCATCTAAACACTCCTTTCCAATTTAATGTGTAACTCTTCCCAGTGAGTAAACAAAAATGAAACAAAGCACACTTGCTTCTCACTTTAAATTCTCTTTAATTGGCATGAAACAAAGTAATATCCAAATATTTAACTTTCTCCAATAATAAGCTTTTGTTTTGTCTTATTCATTGTTGCTGTTAGGTGTCATCGAGTCATCTTCAACTCACAGCAACCTTACGTACAACAGAACAAAACACTGCCCAGTCCTGTGCCAGCCTTACGATCTGTTATACCCAAGCCTACCGTTACAGCCACTGTGTCAATCCATCTTGTTGTGGGTCTTCCCCTTTTTTGTTGGCCCTCCACTTTACTAAGTATGATATCCTTTTCCAGAGAATGGTTTCTTCTGACAACATAACCAAAGTAGGTCTGGCCATTCTTGCTTCCAAGAAGCATTCCAGCTGCACTCCTTCCAGGACAGATTTGTTAGTCCTTTTAGCAGCCCATGGTACTCTGAGCATTCCTCGCCAACACCACAACTCAAAATTATCAATTCTTCTTTGGTCTTCCTTAGTCATTGTCCAGCTCTCACATGCACATGAAACAACTGAAAATACCATGGCTTGGGTTAGGTGCACCTTAGTCTTCAAGGAGACATCTTTGCTCTTCAGCTATACATCATCTGATGTCTTGACCTCTGCTTTCATGGTTGTTGATTGTAGAACCAAGTAATATGAAGTCCTTAACTTCAATCTTTTCTCCATCTATTGTGATGCAGCTTATTGGTCTAGTTGTAGGCATTTTTGTTTTCTTTATATTGAGGTGTAATCTATCCTACAGACTGTAGTCTTCAATCTTCATCAGAAGTGCTTCAAGTCATCCTTCGCTTTCAGCAAGCTAAATCATGTTGTCTGCGTATCACAAGCTGTTAATGAGTCTTCAACACTGATGCCTCGTTCCTCTTCATATAGCCCAGCTTCTCAGATTATTTGCTCAGCATACAGATTGAATAAGTATGGTGAAGGGATACAACCCTGATGTACTTACTCCCTTCCCGATTTTACACCATGTAGTATCCCTTTGTTCTGTCCAAACAGCCTCCTGGTCTATGTAGAGGTTCCTCATGAGTATAATTAACTGTTCTGGAATTCCCATTCTTTTCCACATTATCCATAATTTGTTATTATCCACACAATCGAATGCTTTTGCACAGTCAATAAAACACAAGTAAACATCCTCCTGGTATTTTCTGCCTTCATCCATTTGACACCAGCAATGATATCCTTCATTCCATGTCCTCTTCCAAATCCAGCTTGCATTTCTGGAAGCTCTGTCAATATACTGCTGCAACCTTTTTTGAATTATCTTCAGTAAGATTTTACTTGCGTGTGGTATTAATGATATTGTTTAACCATTTAGACATTCTGTGGGATCATTATTCTTATTCACAGCCATGTAATTACATATTAAATGGCTTGTATATTTGTTTACAAAGAATACAGTATACTGTTTTTACAATAAAGATCACAACATGAAGAGTTTTAGTAATCTACAATAGGACGAAAAACCATTTAAAATATATACCCTGTGTGCAAAATCCAGTTTTAAAAAGCACTAAGTAATCATCTCCCTTTTTAAAAAACGTAAAACTTCACTGGGCGTTAATGTGCTCACCTATACAGTGAGAGAATCAATATCAACTGATCTGAGTCTCCTGCAGATCTAAAATTTTATTCCATCATTCAGTGTATAAAAATTCAAATGAAAAACAGTGAATGAGATGACCAAATAAGCATTTTCATTTTAAGATGTTCAGTATGTTCCTTCTCTAATATGGACAGCCAAAAGGCTACAATTTCTTTTTTTAAATGGTAACTTAAATACAGCAAACATGTATGCCCATTTTCCTGGGCAAAAAATAAATAGGTAAGTGCAAGAGGAATTATCATGTGTTATAAAAATGTAAAGCTCTTATTATGTCCTTTGAGAAACTATGCTCACATGAACAGGGAAAAAAAAAAATACATTTTAGGATTAAGAAAGCTCAAATTAACATGTTATGATTTTTGTAATTAATAGGTCTCTGTGGAGGCAGTTACACCAAATATCTTTTGCTGTTATCTGAATTACAAGTTTATTTTAGCACTTCTAACATATATTTAAACTCTAAGAAGCCTGATAAAAGTATAATATTGTAACAATCTTAAAATTTGGAAATTTAGGGTAGAAACAGAACAGAGGATAGCTTAGTAAAAACAGAATTTTAAAATTTTCAAGTGAAGCAATTACAACTTAGAAATAGTAATTCACTAAATATTGCTGTGCTTTAAAAAACAAATAGTCCTGATTAGTGATTACAAACCATTGTGTTGAGGAAAAAAAGAAAATTTCTCTATTAGCAAACAATTTATCATAAATACACATACCAAGCTAGGAATACTAACTGCAAAATTAAAAGATATACAGAAGGAACTTCTAGTTTCTTAAAACCTGAAGTTTTAAATTTCCTGAATCACAAATTTAAACTCCCTAAATTAACAATTATGTGACAACAATTAAAAACGAATCACTATACTGTGTAAAGATTCTCAGAAGCTGAATAAATACAAGATCTATCAGTGAGATTTCTACAGATTAAGACCATTAAATCGACAGATTATACAGCTGAAACCTTAGAGATGATCTGGTAGTCTAACGGGCATTTTATAGTAGAATGAAGCAAGAGAAGTTAAATGACTTAGTGTCAAAATAGAATCTAAAACTTATTTCCCGACTCTAAATGCAATGTTTTTACTAAGTGCACTGACACTTCTGAAGTACTGATCATTAAACAGGGCACAGTACTTTCATTTAGAGGCCAGTCAGTAGCTCAATAAATACTTGAGTGCCTTCTATGTGTCTGACAATGTTCCAGGAAAGGAATACTCAACACTCAAATAATGCTATGAAGAACATTCCTCACTACAATGTAAGCTCCTTGAGGGCAGAGACTCTTAGTTAATAGTTTTAAGTTTTTAAAAAGTTACAAAAGAAAGAGAATGTTTCCATTTTTTGATTAAGAAAATTTCAAAATAATACACAGATATACAGTTTAAGAGATTAACAATAATTATCTCTTGGTGACAGAATTAGAAGTGAGTTTTCTTTTTGCTTGTATGCATGCTCAATTTTTTTTTTTAACAATAAGCACACATGTAGCTTTAGTAATGTGAAAAAGACTTACGACAGATACTAAAAACAAGTTTATTACTTATATACTGTTAATTATTAAACTATGCCTCACAATCTGTGTATTAAAAGAAATCAATCTGACATTCATATAGAAGGCTTGAAGAAAAACACCAATACAGAATTTGTAACACTTTTCATTTGCAAAGAATGAGGGAATTTATTACATAAACACCTAATTAACAAGTGGCTGCTTATTAAACATCTAAATGCCTAGGGTAGTAGTAACTCTAAGACTCTGCCCATCTGACAGCTATAAAGCATGTGGTTACTACAAAATGGAATCTTTTGAAATGAATTCTCAGTATACCGTATTTGTTTTCATATTAACATGTCCATGCAAAGAACATGCACACATATATAATGTGCACAGGAAACTAACAGAGGTGGGGGTTGAGCAGTCTGCACAAAATAGAACTGTATAACATGTACATTATTTACACAAAGAACAGCATTTTAATAGATTTTTTAAACATTTATAAATATTTATCAGTAACATAAACCCACTTACCTTCAGATTTCAATTTTGTAAGAACAAAAATCAAGTAGTTGTTAAAATCTGGATATTGATTGAGCTGTTCCAGTTTCTAGAACAAACAGTAGTTAAGGAAACTTCTTAGTGTATTCTAAGGAAGCAAGCAAGCAAGCAGTTTTATACTAAAATCAAGAAGCTCTTGGTGATATTTTTAACCTTTCATCTTTACTAAGAATAAGGTTAGCTTACTAAACCTATCAATACACTATTCCAAGAACACATTAATGACCAATAAACTTCTTAGCTGCTTTATGACTGAAATATTGGAATTATATTCATACAAGTATGTTAATTATAGTCAATACAATCCAGTTCCAGCTTCTGCACAACTTTCAAAATGGAATTCTTTATGATTTATTGGCACTTTAAAACATTCTGAGCAGAAAGTTATTTAAGCATAAACAACAAAAATTATTCCAAAAACAAGACTTTCAGAACTAAAAATAGATTTATTTTAAAATTAAAAAGCAGTAACAAACTTTCATTAAACTCATTTGTTCTTTAGAGGCCAAAAAGTTAAGATGTCCACATACCCAAACACGTTACAAAGAGCCACCATTACGAGCTTACTGCATTAAAACAGTTCTACAACTGTTTTTCTCCAAGATCTAACATTTCCAGTGATACAACTTTGCAGGTGTTTCACTGCTGTTAGCAGGCACCAGTGACTTAATGTTCCATTCTATCTTTCTTTCACTCCTTAGTTTTCCAACTCCTAATATACTTGTCAATGGCATGTAACAGAAACATTCAAATATTTTTACTCAAGAATCTAAATCTCTGATTAAAGCCATGATAAACACTCTAGGTACACATATTAGTATGTAAATTAACTAGTAAAATACATTCTCTAATATAATTCAAAGGAGTAACTACTTTCTCTGGCCAGAAAAACCCACACAAGTGATTTCTTGTTTTAGTGAATGGCTAAGATTAACAGCATGCTACCATGTTACTAAATTTTTCCTAAGTATTTCCTGACAAGGTTTACTTTCTTACAATTTGAACTATCTATCCATCCTATTAATTAATGGCCTTTCTAAAGTGCTCAAGCCAGGAGAGTCAGGAATAGGAGGTGGATACAGAGCATGTATGTAGCTAGTTGCCTCCACAAACAACTAACTGCCTCCTTTGCCATGAGACCAGAACTGAATGGCACGCAGCTACCCTTACTGTACATTTTGATCAAAGATTCCATAGAGAATCCTTATCAAAAAGGGGAAAACAGAATTTCAAATTGTGACTTTAGACTTTTGGGAGCCATGGAGGCTGGATGAACCCCTGAAACTATTACCCTAAAATAGTCTTTAAACCAAAAATATCCCCCGAAATCATCTTAAAACCGCTCTACAGTTTCACTTAACTAGTAAAAATAAAACATCTGCCTTGAGCATTTTGCTCTTTTAAGAGCTGTCTAAAACCAAAAAAACTGAACTCACTGTCCTTGAGTCAATTTGATTCATAGCAGCCCCTCCTTGGGTTTCCAAGGCGGTATCTTTATGAAGTAGATTGTCCAACCTTCCTTCCAAGGAGTGGCTGGTGGGTTTGAACCGTCAGCCTTCTAGTTAGCAGTCAAATGTCTTAGGCACTGTCTAGATAGGATCAAACTGACAACATCAACTCAAAAGATTAGAAAGGAACCTTTGGGGGCACTGAGTTTATGTTAATGAGGGAGGAACAACTCAGAAAAGGAGGGTGAGAATGGATGACAACTCAATACAATTAATGCCACTAAATAGTACATGTAGAAATACTTAATTGGTATATGTTTTGCTGTGTATATTCTCAGTAACAACAAAATAAATAAAATTTAAGAGGAAAAAAAAGTGGTCTGTGGACTACAACTTCAGCACAAACTGTTAGGTATGAGATGAGTACGGAGATTAACAGTAAACATTTAGAAACATTTACAGCAATTTGCAATAGTAATTTAATGCATGTCCAATTTAATTATTAAAAATAAGGCTTATATTCTGTTAAAAAAAAAGTGTTCAAGTCTATATAAAAATACATTCTTTCCTAAGAAGACACCAAAGAAGGTGGTCATCATAAGATACTTTGAAAACAGAAAGCATTTCATATTTTTAATTAAGTAATGTTCCCCTCTATCGGTAACAGAAATTTAATCTGTTCCTCACTCAGGTCATACTATTCTCTAGGCACACAAAATAAACTGCAAAATTAACTGGTAGCCCAAGCACAGTACTAGGTATAAAAATGTTACTTAAAATTGCTCACTACTGACAGTATTCAAACGAAATGTCTTTTTTAAAAAAAAAAAACAAAAAACCTACCAAACCAACAACTAAATCATTATCCCTTCGATTTAAAAATGGGCACGATAGTAACTAAGAAGCTAAGTACCTGCCCATCTATTGACCACTTTTAAATTACAGCGATGCATTTCTCAGAAACTTATCTGAGCTTCTCACGTAATCGCATATAACCTCACTTTCATAGTATTTTAAACAAACCCATTAACACTAATAAAAGTCTAACTTAAATTCCACGTTAAGTAAACTTGCTGCTTATTAACAATAAAATCAAGGGACTTTTCTGCAAACACACTTTTTTTTTTAAAGAATTTTAACATTAAGGCAAAATACTGTGAGTATTTACGACATGTTGAGTGAATTTGTTTCCTTTTCTGGATCCAATAAGCAAAAGGCTCTCCATTTGCCCAGTTTAGGATACCGCAGAAAACACGTATCACAGGCGCTTTTGCTTAACTTTTTCTGTCTCTAAAACCATAGCAATAAGACTGCTAAACCAGCAAACGAGGTGTAATTGAGCAGTCAGTCTTGAGCCAAATCTTTAAAAAGAAAACATCACTGGGAGCCAGAGAGCTTGCAACAGGTGTTAACATCAGTATTCTCGGGGTGAGGCCTTAACAGAAACCCTTTTGCGAACTCTAGGTCTTCAGCCCGTTTAGGGTACGGATTAGCGGGAAATTAAAAACAAAAACAAACAAACAAAAAAACACCAGGCCCAACAGGGCAGCAGTTCAAACCCCGCGCCAGCTCCACCCCACTTCTGGCCAGCCGGCTGGCGAGCTGCGACGCGCACAAAGCGCCCTCCACTGGGCCTCTAGCTCGGCCCAAAGTCCCCACACCTCACCGGGCGCATTGTGTGGGCCCGGGGCGTCAAGAGCTCGGCCAGTACCGAGGCCGCTGCCGATAGCTCCGCTCTCCACAGTTTCGGCAGGTCAGTGGCAAGCGGGGACGTGGTGGCCCAGCTCGCGCACATGTCGCGATCGCGGGCGGGGACCGGAGCACCCGCCCCCCCACAAGCCGGAAGCCGGAATCCTCTGCGGCGCGAGCCCCACGCGGCTGCGCCCCCAGCCCGGGCACGAAGGCCGCGTGCGCCAGAAGTCTGGCAGCGGCGGCGGGCGGCCGGGCCTCTATCCGCGGACGGGAGGGAGGGGGAGCCGAGAGCGGGAGGGGGGAGGGGCAGCGGGGCCACCCGGCCGCTGAGAGCGGGCCCGCCGCGCGGGGTGAGCTGCGCGGGCGGCGGCGAGGCCTCGTAAAGGATACTTGTTGCACGGTTCTCTGGATGGTGGTGTCTGGGGACTGGGACTCCTTCAGCAGCTGCAGGATTTGCTGAAGCCCTTGCTCGTCAGGTTTCCACTCATACTCCATCTTGGTTTGCTGCAAATAAAGCCAGACACAGGAAGAGACGGAGCAAATGTTACTCCCGGTGCACAGGCCCGAGGGCTTCCCGCGCCAAGCAACCCCCTTCTCCCAGCTACGATGACCCTTGCCTTCCCCAGACGCCTCGGACCTGCCTGGGGTGCCCCGAAGGAAGTCTCGGACGGTGAAACCCAGCAGAACTACTCCCAGCAGCTCGGCCGCCAACGTCTGCAGCTGCTGCCGCGGCCGCCGAGCGCAAGGAGCCGACCAGACTGAGTCACCGCGAATTTGCAATCTGGCCCCCAAGATCCGCTCGCGGGAGCCCCCTGGGTCCTAGTGCCACGCATTTTCCTCTAGCCCAACCCAACTCTATCTAGTTCCATCCACAAGCTTTCTACAGTTAATGGCTAATCAAAAGTCCTCAAGTCCTCATCAAAACCGCAGCGAAACACCTGAAGAGATCTGGTTTAGGTTATTAGTTATTTTAAGTAAACGAGGTGAAATGAGAATGATTGAAATCGGGGAAAAAGGCTGACAACTCCTCCAACAGCTCAACGATAATTAGCGAGAAACAGTAAGATGTGTATATTTCAGTTCGATATATGAAGCACTAAATATTAATATTTAGTCCAAGATATTAATGATACATTGTAATCACAAGCCACATCTCAAAATATTAAATGCAACACTGGCAGAATTGGCTGGAAAAAAAAATGCATTCTTTTATAAACTTTTAACTTTTTATGGTTTAAGTGAAATTCCATCATGAAATAACTCCATTCCACGACTATGGGCTTTGGGCTGAAGTACAGACAAGAAAAATAATGTAACTTTACAAATAAGTAGTGTTTAATTTTATTAAAGTGTTTTCACATACATTTTCTCACTCTCACTACAACCTGGTGAAATACTGTTTGCCCTCATGTGGCAACTAATACACAAAAAGATCTGAGGAAATGACCAGTTAATTACTGAAGACTGGGACAAGAATATAGGTTTCCTAAGCTATTACCGGGAGCTCTGGTAGCATGGTGGCTAAGACACTTGACTACTAACCAGAAGGCTAGCGGTTCAAACCCACCAGCCACTCCTAGGAAGGATGGTTAGGCAATCTACTTCTGTAGTGATACGGCCCTGGAAACCCAAGGAGGGGTCGCTCTGAGTAAGTCAGACTTGATGGCACATAACAACAACAATTCCACTTCCTTACTTCATTCCTCTACTGTTTAACATCCTGCAATCTGGCTTTGTTCACCACCTTCTATTGGCTTCCTAGACAACCCAACACAGCAAACTTGTTAGTTGAAACAGACGAAGATACTCATCATTTGCACACAATACCTATAAATATTGCACTGTTTTTATACTAGTCTTCAGCCCATGTGTTTATATATACATTATATTCTATAACAATGGGATTATCTTCTTCATTGCGTAAATTCATGTATCATTAAATATGCAACAGGTTTACAGGTATGACTTGCTTAACTGCTTTTGGAAAGTAAACTGATAATAACTGTTAAAATTTTTTACATACACATACTTTTTAGCCTAATAATCACACTGGGTTGCCACTACCTTGTAGAACACTGGTGGTTGTTTATTGCTTTGTTGTTTGTAGTAGAAGCAACCTGGAAGCTCATCAGGGAATGGAATGGAAGTATTTTTTGAAACATAATGGTATTACATCATATCACTCTGCCATAATTTCTTTTTAAAATGTCTTTTATGGATATATATAAAAAAAGTGTTCAAATCATAAGCATACAACTAGATACTTACAAAGTGAACACAACACGCCTGTGTACTCAACACTTGGCTCAAGAGCATTACCAGTACCCAGAGGTCTCTTTTGGGCCCGCTCCTAGTCATCACCCTTCCCAAAGGTAATCTCTATTTTAATTTCTACTGTATTTCTCTCCCTCTCTCTTTTCTTTTTGCTTCAAAGCTTTTTTTTTTTTTTTTAATTACAAAACCATATTATTAAAACAAAGCAAACACCATGGTTGTACAAGGAACGTTAAATCAGTGCTACCTCCAAAACTTACCTCTCAAAGAGAAACAGTTTTCTTTTGATGGGAGTCCTCTATACCCTTCTCTATTCTCAAACATAGTTTTTCTTTAAAAAAAGAAAATCATACTACACTACACTGCAGTACACTACATATTATATTACCTTGACTCTACAACTTTTTATACATAGCATGTTGTTGTTATGTGCCGTCAAATCGGACCCGACTCATAGCGACCCCCTTTGGGTTTCCAAGGCAGAAGTAGACTGCCCAACCTTCCTTCTGAGGAGTGGCTGGTGAGTGTGAACCGCCAGCCTTCTGGTTAGCAGTCAAGTGCCTTAGGCACTATGCTACCAGAGCTCCCAATAGCTAATACATTAAATTTAGCTCACATTTTAATGGATGCACATTGGTCTTTAGAACTGGATAGTGCATTATTTGTTCAACCATTCCCTGCTGAGCTTCCAGGTTGCTTCTACTATGAACAACAAAGCAAAAAACAACAACAACCAATGTTCCTACAAGGTGGTGGCAACCCAATGTGATTATTAGGCTAAAAAGTATGTGTATGTAAAAAATTTTAGCAGTTATTATCAATTTACTTTCCCAAAGCAGTTATGCAAGTCATACCTGTAAACTTGTTGATTCCAAGTCATAGCAACCCAGTAGGTCAGTAAACTGCCCCATAGGGTTTCCAAGACTATAATCTTTAGGGAAGCAAATGGGTTCAAATTACTGACCTTTTGTTAGCAGATGAGCGCTTTAACCACTGTGCCACCAGGGCTCCTTATGTAATGTATGCCAACAATGTGTTACTATTATTTCCACCATTCAGAGGTCAATTTTTGTGAATATTAATAGGTGAAAATTTAATTTCCCCTCGTATTAGCTGAGCCTTGCTTATGAGTTAGAGTTGTTACAAGGCAGATCTCACCTGCTGAGGTGACATTCTGATAGCCCTCTTAACTCACTAGCTGCCCTTGTTAACAGAAACTAAAGGCAGGGGCCAATAGCAGTCAAGTCCAAAAGGCATCTTTCACCATCTCATCCATCCTGAGGATGGCTGCAGCATAAGACAGTGCCATGCTTCCTTCTTTATACCTGGGGTATGATAGTTAAAATTGTGTGTCAACTTGGCTGGGCCATGATTCTTAGTAGTTTAGCAGTTATGATGTAGTCATCCCCCATGATGAGATCTGATACTATGTAATCACTTCCATGATGAGATGTGCTTTGAGCAGCCTATCAGTTGAAAGGCAGTTTCCTTAGGAGTATGCCTATTTCTAATACATATATGGCCATCCTGGGAAAATTCTGGCTTTCTGCTGGATCTTGATCCTGCAGCTGGCTCATCATTATCTCTGGTTCCTGGACTTGAACCAGTGGCTTGTCATACTGCCTGCTGATCTTGGGATTATTGCCTTTGCAGACTATGAGCCAACAATCTGCCATTTTAATTGCCAATCTTACATTCTTCAGTCTCTGAGGCCAACAGACTGCTATACTGCCTGTGATCTTGAGTACAACAGCCCCTGCAGGTGCATGAGTCAGGAGAAGCCTCCAGCTTGATGTGTGACCCACAGACTTGACACTTGCCAGCCTCTACAACTGCATGAGCCATTTCCTTGAAAGAATTTCCCTGTCTCTCTCTTTGTTTCACTGGTTTTGCTTCTCCAAAGAACCCAGCCTTAGATATCTGGTGGCAAGAGTGGTTCTAGAGAAACAAAATTGTAAGCATGACTTTTCTAAATTGGTTCTCAAGTCTGATGAGTTGTAAAGGCACAGATGACTCTGCCACCATTAGTAAAAAGGGCACTGACACTCCACAGCATGAGGTGGCAATATTAATACATAAAATAGTACCACCGATAAATCAAGTATTGGTGAGCAGTTAGGCTCAGGGTGATCACATGTTTGATACTTTTCTGCAATTCTGTCCGTATGAGGAGTAAAAGTGAATTAAGACACCTAACTACAATGGATTCACTTGTTTTTCACTTGTCACAGCTTACTTAGTATTAAGTTTAGTATTAAGAACATTAAATTTGATCAGCCCATAAAGATGGGATAGGGAGAATTTGTTGTTGTTATGTGCCATCGAGTCGTCTCTGACTCGTAGTAACTTTATGTACAACAGAACAAAACACTGTCCGGTCCTGTGCCAACCTAACAATCCCTACTATACCTGAGCCCATCACTGCAGGCACTGTCTCAATCCATCTAATTGAGGGCCTTTCCCTTTTTCGTTGACCCTCCACTTAACCAAGCATGACATCCCTTTCCAGAGAATGGTCCCTTCTGACAACATGACCAAAGGAGGTGGGATGAAGTCTGGCCATTCTCACTTCCAAGGAGCATTTCACCTGCACTTCTTCCAGGATAGATTTGTTAGTTCTTTTAGCAGTCCATGGTACTTCCGCATTCTTCACCAACACCACAACTCAAGAGGATCAACTCTTCTTCGGTCTTCCTTATTCACTCTACAGCTCTCACATGCATATGAGGTGACTGGAAATACCATGGGTTGGGGTAGATGCATCTTAGTCTTCAAGGAGATATCTTTGCTCTTCAGCATTTGTTAAGAGGTCTTTTGCAACAGATTTGCCCAATCCAATACGTCTTTTGATGTCCTGACTGCTGCTTCCACTGCCATTGATTGTAGAACCAAGTAATATGAAGTCCTTGACAACTTCAATCATTTCTCCATCTATCATGATGCTGCTAATTGGTCCTGTTGTGAAGATTTTCATTTTGTTTATATTGAGGTGTAATCGTCACTGCAGACTGTAGTCTTCAGTCTTCATCAGTAAGTGCTCCAAGTCATCCTCACTTTCAGCAAGCAAAGTTGTGTCATCTGCGCATCTCAGGTTGTTAATAAGCCTTCTCTAATCCTGATGCCATATTCTTCTTCATACAGTCTAGCTTCTTGGAATATTTGCTCAGCATACAAATTAAATAAGTATGGTGAAAGGATCAACCCTGATGCACTCCCTTCCTGATTTTAAACCATGCAGTATCCCCTTGTACTGTTCGAATGACAGCCTCCTGCTCTGTGTACAGGTTCCTCATGAACACAATTAAATGCTCTGGAATGCCCATTCTTCTCAATGTTATCCATAATTTGTCATGATCCACACAATCAAATGCCTTTGCATAGTCAATAGAACACAAGTAAACCTCTTTCTAGTATTCTTT